TAAGATATCTAGGAATTTCGATGAGGGATTGATAGTGTTTATGACGGATTAGAAACGGGAATTTTTTTTCTTCTACTTTAAGAATTTTTCTTCGACTAAAAAGGCGTTTAATGTATTTTAAACATCTTTCTGCCATTACCATTTGTAGCTTTAAACTGCATTTAAATAGCCGTTTAACATTTAAACCAACGAGCATTTATGCAGGTAAATTATGCGAGGAAACGATTATGGTATATAAAAAGTGTAAAAATTTAAAATAAAAGGGAAAATAATATTTAAAAAAATACAAGAAATCTTTACTAAGTTAATGTGTTAAATTTTATAAATGCATAATTTACTTAGGCAAATAATTTATTGAGGTATCTCGTGTAAGTGACCAAACATTAGAGGATTTCAAACAAAATATTAATGAAACTGGAATGAAATAGGTCTATTTTATTCATGAATCGGCTATTAGTTTTGAAAGAAAACATTAATCATTAATGTACTGTATATTAATAGTCTTGGTATGTAATAAGTGTTGAAAAATTCAATGTTTTCTCCAACTCGCAAGATGTTATGAGATATATTATTTAAATTATTTATATTTATATAAAATATTTATATAATTACAATTGTTTACGTTAAAGTATTAATTTTTTAAACACATTTTACGTACGTGTAATAAATTTTATTTTATTGAGCCACACGGTATATGTACAATAATGTGTAAAATAATTTATCTGTGCTCATCGTTTTGTATTGTTAATATTAAATAAAGAAATTAATAATTTTTATTTGAATTAGGCCTATATTTTATAAATTTGATCAAAAATAAATAAACATGTTTGTATTAAATAAACTTTTATAAATATATTTAATTAAAATATTTATATTTATATTTTAATTATGTTTAGTGTATATCTTAATTTTTTAAATGTATATTAATGTAAAAAATTGAGATAAAGTAATGTTTAAATTGTGGCGCCATCTATTAAGCTGATTACAAATTAATACACACGAATCGAATTTAATAAAAAAGCGAAAGTTTGTTAACGAATTACGTAACAAAATATATATATATATTAAATAATATAAAAATGAAAAAAAATTTTAAAAGTTAATTTTAATACAAAAATTGTGACGTGAAGCGACATCTAGTATCAAAAATGTTCTGATGTAAATACGGAAATATTCGGGATCGCCCACGCAGATCAACGAGGTAAACACACATATTTTCGGGATCAATGTAGGACAGGTTAAACCTGTACATTACCAATTAATCAACACCAATGTTGAAGACAAACATATTCTAATTTATAATTTTCTTTAATTGGAAAAATGGTCAACATCTATTTGTAGGAGGAATGTTTGTATGAACAAATTATTCTTTCAATCACCATAACAGTGTATTTTAATGTAACAGTGTATTAAAATTGTTTTATTTACAATTACCAGGTAATTGTAAATAAAACAATTTTAATCTGTGTGACTGTGTTGCTGTAATCTTATACACCAGTGTGATAAGTCCTATTAATAGAAATACACTG